TTAAAATTCTGAAATATTATTATTTACCTCTCATTTTTGATTTACTTTAAATTCTATACTTTGGCCTTTTTCCTTTAGTAGTAGTGATTGTCTAGTTAATTAATTGATAATCTATATATCCACGTTGTGATAATCTTAATTAAAACAAACCAGGATTCGATGCAAAGTTTGGTGCAAATTGGTAAATAAAACCATACTAAATTTATATTTAAAACCTTTTATTTTTCATACTTTACCGAGATCTCAATTGAGTTACGCTCAAACGCGGACCACGTTCATTTCCTATCAATATATATTTTATTTAGCTTGATTCTATCCTAGATATACACAGGATTGTATTTTCGTAGGTATTTATTTCGACGAGCATAGAGGTGATGACCAACGGAGTTGACGAACAGCGCCAATTCGCCAGTTGGTTAACTTACTGTGTTGGTGTTCACATATACTTGTGAACACCAACCTAGTAGATTGGGTGGCTAGTATAGGTGCCCTCCTTGAGCTAACGAATAGTGTCAATTCACCAGTTGGTTTTAAAGATTACCATCTAGGGATGCTTAGATTTGTGGGCATAATTTAGCCAAGATGATACGTCCCTGTATAATTATAAAATATTGATACTTATAATTTCTATTATAATAACCCAAATTCACCCAGCATCGTGGCGGAGAGGAAGGGATTTATTACGGTACTGCGTCGGGACTGATATAAGGTAGAACGCCGGTACGTAGAAAGGTAAGAAAGTGTGGTGGGTAGAGGTTGCGCGTCGGGACGTGAAAGCTTCCGGGAGATAGGTCGTTGGGACGTAGAACATAGCTAGAACATCAATAGGAGGTAGGGTAGGATATACGTCGGTTAGAAATATCGTCTATTTAGGAAAAATACTGAATACTGAACTTGAAATTTAACTAAATTTGAGAAGCAACTGAATTAGACTGGATTTAAAATAATAATGAATCAAGTTCCTGGAGATTGGGTATTTATGCCCGTTTTTGAGATGTCAATTTATAGTAACTCCCATGGGAACAAATTTTGGTGGATAAAAAGGGGTGGTTGATTTATTACGTACCTTGAGAAATTCTCGAAATTTTGTGTCGAGATCATGTCCAAATTTATTTAAATCTGCGGACGTAGAAAAATGTTTTCTTGAAACTCACGGTTTTACTTTACTCACTTAGTGCATAAATAACTATTTATGATAAAATATATAAAAATAAAAGCTACAAACCCTATACTATTTGAAGTGTATTACCCTCTGCATTAAGATTCGGTCATTAAAATGAGAGTGCGTGAACAACGCAGATCATCAAACATACAGCCGGAACGCGTGGTTTCTTTGAGAAAAACATCTAATTAGTCAATAAAAGAGCACTTAAAAATACATTTCTCTATAAGTATACGCAATGAAGGTGTTTGTGTGAAAATATGATATGTGCATTTCAGTGGAAATTAGCATAGTGATGAAGTGTCTCAAATATGGATTAGTTTTACCTATATTAATTTAAAAACGAGCCTTAACAAAAGATAGTATTGCAGTTTTGTTAGATTAAGTCTTTTTTATTCTGGGGGGACACCTTTCTATCATATCCATAACTGTCATTACCCTCCCCTCCGTCACACTAACCAATAAAAATTAAATAAGGAGTACTAAATATGACACATCATTGAAAATATAGTTTATAGAGAATTAGGCAATGTAACTATTCATAGAGATAAAATACTGAAACGTATTGTAAGAATGACACTTCATTTAAAAACTAATTTTATGAGTAATATAATGCAATGACAACCTTATGCTATTTAAGTTAATGTATTATTCAATTAAGTTTTGTTATTGTATGTATTAAATTACTAACAAAATTATCTAGCTTTCAAATTACGTGTCATACTTACAATTTTCTACAACATCTGCAACTGTTTTATTGTATTTAAATCTTTTGAAATCTGTAAAATCATTCGAATATCCGAATGGAATCACAAAATAAATGGAAAAATAATAGTTTTTTATGTACCAGGGATGGTAAATGTAATTGTATTACCCTTATAAACATACAACATTTTGAAAATTATAGTCAAGATTATGAGTTTCAACTGAGGCTATAGTTTTTAATTTATAGTTGAATTACAATGTCAAATCAAAGATAAATCTTGCTCTACTTAAAGTTAAACTTATTTTTAAAAATACGTTATTGATAACTCAATTTTTTTGTCATTTACAATTCATACATATTCATACATTTTGTTTAAGAGGTGTATAATTATAAAAAATATGTTACTAAAACAAAACAAAAACTAGTTCCTAAAAATATGTCCGCTACGCCATTGTAGAGTGTTTAAACTTTTTAAAATATAATTTTTCTACAAAATAGTGACATGTGTGCTGTAAAGTGACATGCACATGCTTACGTCAAGTAAAGACGCGCTCTTCTATTTAAGCTCCATTCACAATTTTTATTCCAAACGTACTGTTTGCACTTATTACTATCAGTCATACATAGCTGACAATTCAACATGGCTGACTGTTAAAAACACCATTAAAAAGTCTCCGAATAAACCATTGCATTTGGGGGGCTATTTTCATAAGTGAATAGGCCTTTTCATCACAACTTTTTTTGTGCGCATGCTTCAGTATCAGCCATCTTTTTCGTACTGTTCTTGTAAACAAGTATGTTAAAATGCTCACGTGAAAAAAATTATACTCGATAAATATTAATTCAAGTATATTCATTTAAAAAAAGGAGAAAGAAGCAAAGTAATAATAAGTTTAGTGTCTTAATTGACAAATACATTTTTTCAATCAATTATAATAATTATGTTATCTGTACGGAAAGGAACAACGAAACGGTGTTGTTATGGAATATGTAAAAGTGACACACGGTATAAATCATTCAAAGGCAATGCATATTACTTTATACATTTTCCAAAGCTGCAATATCGTAAAAAATTATCAGGCAAAATCCATATTAAAACATGTTCAAAATGCACAAAATGTGCATTAGGTGTGAAAAAATGTGATCGAAGTGACAACGGTTTTCGATCGATTGATGATGTTACTAAAGATACTTATATTTGTTCACTACATTTTCATGGAGAAAGTGGTCCAACAGAAGAAAATTCTTATCTGGTATTACACAATATTAAATAATACTTCGGTATACACAGTTATATGATTAAAAATGTCATGTTAATCCTCAAAATATTAAATAATGTATTTTATTAATTATACTCGTGATTAACTTTCATGTTAATTAAAGTGTTTTTGCAAATAGTTGGTTGGCATAATTAATTAAAATAGAGTTATAATTATTATTTGTTTTCATCAATTTTTTACTCAGTTAAGAAGTATTGATACACCTAGCCTCTCAATTAGTCCACTTTTTCCTTTGTAGCAAACGTCCAAGACACTCCAACCACCTTTTCAACTGCTCACAACTATGTGCTTCCACAAAGTTATAAAAAGTTAATCACCATCAACGATTTTTTCTAATGATTGATTTGTCTGTAGGGATAATATTGCTTTCCCAGCCATTGTCAATCAAAACAGTACGAAACATTTGAATTACCGCTATTTCAACATGGTGGCTGCGTTTGCGCTCATCACATAATAAAAAGGCATATTCTCTGAAGACGTATTTGGAAGTTTACGTTTGAAATATTACTATAAATATATGATTATTTCAACCCTTGTAATACCAAGTAAGGTGAATTTGCTTTCGGTAGTACGTTATCTTCACTGCTTAATGTCAGTCAAGAACTATCCGATAATAGTAATCATCATCGTGTATTCAAATTTTATTTGGATGAGGGTCCCAACTTGCTAAATTATTATTATCGTTCTTATTTTATTTAAAATGGCTTAATACAGTCGATTAAATAACTGTAATTTGTAAAAAATAAACCAACAATAATTTAACAGTAAACGTTTGAATACACCATGACGATTAATTTTATCGGATAGTCCTTGACTGACAATAAGCACTGAAGATGGCGTAATGCTGAAATTGCTTTGCAATTCAAATAAAATAATGTTTGTACGAAACAAAAGTTTTCTTTTCTCATTCCTTTTTTATTTTATTATTATTTTCATTAGCTGCATATTTTTAAACTACAAAGGTAATCCAAATAAAATTTTACTTGAATTTTTTCTTAAAAATAGTTTTTATTTCGTTTTTTTTATTAACTTTCTGGTCCATTTAAATTCCAATAAGTTTAATACTATCAAATTAAGTTTATTTTTTAATATATGAGTACATAAAGTCTAGAAAACACCAAGAGAACAAAAAAAAATGAGGCGCAAATCTCCCTCACTCGGTACTACACGTTTGAAAAACAGCTTTGTAGTAAAAGAGTTAATAGATTACGGTTATTTTTGTTCTTTAAATATGCCCATCGATATATACTTATTTGTTACGCAGCTTCAAAAATGAACCTACATTTATCAGGTTCCGACATGGACGATACACCTCCAGATATCACAGAAAATGTTAAAAATTAGTACATTACGAGATTATTTCATTGCTGTTAATGAACAGTTTTAAAATCCTGGAATAACTGTATATAATTGTTCTAATTTAAATAAATTAAGTTAAAAAGTATATATAAAATTACATACCAAAGTACTAATAGCACAAATTAGAACATAATTATAAATGACAATAATAATTAATAATTTTTCATTTGCAAAATGCAAATTTTCACGCTTTATCTAATAAATAAATAGTTATGAATGAAAAGATTATGGAAACGTTTTTAAATACAAAAAAAAACAGTTCAATTGGAATTGATATCAACTATCAATTTTAACATCGACCTTTCATTCTTTCAGTTTAAACTTCCTAGTTCAAGTAGCACACGCAAGAAAACAAAACAAAGAAATAGAGGCGGGTCCAAAGTCGGACAATAAATTTAACGTATAAATCTAGAAACTATTTTCAAAAGTGTTGTTAAAAGAATGAGCCGGTGCTCTATTTTACTGTTGTGTTATATTTTACCCTAACTACGTTATGGAGAGTCTCGAAGACGTAATCGCCAGGGAAGAGGCTGAAAGACAGCAGAGTTTGAGAGACTTAGAGCAGCTCTACGAGTGGCTCCAACAGTTTGAGGATCCCCCTCCGGCCCCCCGGCCGCCGCCTCCATATCAGTTTCGAAACGGTAGGTGGTTAAATATGTTGTAGGTATAGAGATTAACGGTTGAAATGTGGGAGACATAAGTAATTTCGGGATGAACCCATGCTAAGATTTGCATGTTAATTATTTATTTGATACCTTCATCTGAAGACCAAAGTTTTAGGTTTAGTTTTATGGGGAGTGTAACACAATTTAACACACAATTTAAACTTTCTGTTGTTTACTGTTAGTGTTATAAAGTTATTTAAATTAGGATGAATGTGTCTGGAAAATTTGCTTCATGAATTTATAATTCGTTGATTTTAGTTACAAACTTTGCGCCGTATTCTTTTCTTTTTGTTACAGAAGAGTTTTAAAATGGATTATATAACCTTAAGATAAAATAAATATACAGTGTGTCCCACTTTTCATGGGACCACACCCAGTATTTGCTTTAATAGACCTATAATTCTATTGTTTGGATATCCGATATAATCCATTGATAAGCCTTTTATGAAAAAAAGGATAATTTTTAAATAAGAATAGTTTCTTTTTTTATTAATAAATAAATATCCCAAGTAATGCGATTTGCTTCTAAAGAAGCAGTTTATTATGTGTTGACAATTTTGAGTACCTTGAGGTACTCCTTGCTTTATTTTTCTTAGATCGGAACAGGTTTCTTGCTGTTTTATTCCTAATTACCTTTAAAAAACTTAATTCTTTAAAATAGTCCATTAAAATTAAACTTTGAGAAAAAAAATGTTAACAGGACTTTGTTAAGTGTAAATAGTAAAGCGGCTTGTAATAAATAAATAACAAATATATTCAACCTGAGGGAGGCGGGGTTGAAGTAAAGTTTCAGGCGGTTGAAAAGGGGTGAAAAATGGTATTGCAATTTCCGGCGAAAGTTGACCTCAAAAACAAATATGTATAAGGCAAAAGTTGTAGATCAAGCAAAAATCTTCCGCTTTTGTAAAGGTCACTTTTTTACATAACCTCAAAATATACGATAAAAGAGCAAAAGTTTGTTCGAATTTTTTTTTTTCATTTTTTATTTTTCCTTTTTTCAAATATAATTCAATTTTAATGAAATTTTGTGAAATCATACGTTTGTGTATGTTGAGTAAGCAAAAAAAATTGAAATAATTTTTTTTTAAAAATTTGGAGGTATTAATTATTATTGGTGTGGGGGACTTTAACTGGAACTAATTGGCTAGAGTAACAGGCTAAAATATTTGGATAAAACGCAAGAACAGGTCGATTGAGTTTTTGTGGTCTTTCCTGTCAAACATTTTCACGCCTTTGATACTACTTGTGGCATCTTGTTGGAAAGCTCATTTAACAAGAAAATTGACTCTGCAATTTTTTTCTACGTTTATGTGATGCTCCAAAATTACAAAATCGCACTGAGCGAATATGTGAAAAAAATATTATTCATTGGTAAACCTGCCGAAGGCGTAATTTTAAATACCCACAATTTTTCTCACACCATGAGAATCACAATTGATTTTTTTTAAATCAGTTTAGTTACCTGTAAGACCTGACTACAAAACAAATTTTCTCACGAAATAAAAAGCATTAAAGGGTGCGCTATATTGGAAGGGTTCTTTTCTAAAGGCAATAAAGTTTTTGTGCTTTTTAAAAAGGGTGACGAAGTAATTTTTTGCAGACCCTTTTAGAATGATTTTAGAACATACAATATTTATTTTACATGCTTGCGAAATTATCACAGGTAGGTAACAACCAAAATTTACATTTCAAACAGTTTTTCACTCTTTTCATGGAGCCCTCATGCCTGTATTGTCTATAATAAAACTGAAATTAATTTCAAATATGATAATAAAAAATGTAGACCTATAATGTGGTTCGCTTCACATATTTTATATTCATCAGTGTCGTTTAAAGAGAGTACTAGTGTCAAATTAAAAAATATGTATTAGCATTTTATTTTCTAACAAAGAATTGAGATTTATGTTGAACACTTTAAAAATGCCTTTAACGGAGGATATCAAAAAAATATTCCTTCCGATAATTGAAATGTAGGAATTCTATTTAGTTAAGAAAATATTTCTAAAACTATTGCTTCTATGTAAAATGTATTCTTACTTTTTATTTATTTAATATATTTTTATATAAAAATTATCTTCGCTTCAATTATTGCAAAAAGTAATTTTAAAATTATTAGAAAATTACTCCTTTTTTAGACTAGTCGAATTAACTCATTTAGATGAAAAAAAAAAAAAAAATTAAATTGTTAACAAGACTTTAATAAGTGTAAATGGTAGAGGGGCTAATAATAAATAAAAAAAATTGCTACCTGAGGATGGTTGAAGTAAAGTTTTAGGGGGTTAAAAAGGGATGAAAAATTGTATTGTATTGCAAAAGTTGTAGATCAAGCAAAAATCTACAGCTTTTGTAAATGTCACTTTTTAACATAACCTCATAATTTTCGATAAAAATGCAAAGTTCGTTTGAATTTATGTTTTTGAAGTGAAAACTTCTTTAGCGGCGTTGAGCACTTTTGCGGGATGGGTGAAAACTGTGAAACTCGCGTCAGGACATATATGCTGATCGAAAATTCGTAAGACGGTTGGACAGTAGTGTTGTAACATCGAAATCGATTAATCGAACAATCGATTGTTTTCTTTCGATTGTCGATATTTTTTAAATTGGAATAAATTGAAATAAACTAGAATAAATTGGAATAAATTGGAATAAATTGGAATAAATTGGAATAAATTGGAATAAATTGGAATAAATTGGAATAAATTGGAATAAATTGGAATAAATTGGAATAAATTGGAATAAATTGGAATAAATTGGAATAAATTGGAATAAATTGGAATAAATTGGAATAAATTGGAATAAATTGGAATAAATTGGAATAAATTGGAATAAATTGGAATAAATTGGAATAAATTGGAATAAATTGGAATAAATTGGAATAAATTGGAATAAATTGGAATAAATTGGAATAAATTGGAATAAATTGGAATAAATTGGAATAAATTGGAATAAATTGGAATAAATTGGAATAAATTGGAATAAATTGGAATAAATTGGAATAAATTGGAATAAATTGGAATAAATTGGAATAAATTGGAATAAATTGGAATAAATTGGAATAAATTGGAATAAATTGGAATAAATTGGAATAAATTGGAATAAATTGGAATAAATTGGAATAAATTGGAATAAATTGGAATAAATTGGAATAAATTGGAATAAATTGGAATAAATTGGAATAAATTGGAATAAATTGGAATAAATTGGAATAAATTGGAATAAATTGGAATAAATTGGAATAAATTGGAATAAATTGGAATAAATTGGAATAAATTGGAATAAATTGGAATAAATTGGAATAAATTGGAATAAATTGGAATAAATTGGAATAAATTGGAATAAATTGGAATAAATTGGAATAAATTGGAATAAATTGGAATAAATTGGAATAAATTGGGATAAATTGGGTCATCAACTTTTTTGTTAAAAATTTCTTCGTATTTCTAATAATAAAACAGCTATCGATCAATTACACACTGATGGGACACCCTGCATATGTGTTGGTTACATGGCAGGTATCGTTGGATGGGTAAATTTATAAGGAATTTTATGCTAAAATAATATACAAGGTGTTGCATTTGAAAAAATTGAGTAAATTGAACTTAAAATTAGCTATATTTAATACATGTTTCAAAACACTGTATAAAATATTTCAGTTCTATCACCACTTTTTGTTAGCTTACTATCTTATAAGACTGTATTTTAAACCATTTATAAATCATTGTAAACCTACCCAAATTATGATAATTGCTTGGCAACACTATAATATTCCTTAAAAGTTTTTTAAGGTTAAATACAGTATTACTAAAGCATTCTAAAACTGAAATAAAATACAGGTTATTCAATTTAAAAAAATATACATTTTTATTTGCTAGGCAAAAAGTAACACCCTTTATATTCAAAAATATTTTTTACACGTATTTTTAATTCCATATAACTTTTGTTTAAAACTTGTTTGCGTGTCTATAACAGCAATTGAAATATTGAACATTTACACTTTAATGGGACATCCTGTATATTTTTCTTATTTTTAAAAAAGTAGTTAAAAGCATTATAATAAGCAACCGGAGTTACTGTTTGTAAATTGTAAAAATATTAGCAACAAAAAACAGTGTAAATTTTATAAATTTTCAGTAACAAGATGGAAATTAAATCAAAAAATAAACGTACCAGTATATTTGCAGTAAGAAGAGAATAGTATATTACATTACGAGTGTGGAAAGTGACATTTTTCACACGAGTGGGAAATATTGTCGCACGAGGCGTAAGCCGAGTGCGACTATCACACGAGTGTGGAAAATCACTTTTCACACAAGTGATGTACAATATTTTTCCTATGACCACAAAATAATTTCATCAAAAAATGTAAAACCAGATTATTATAATAATTAAAATGTATTTAAAAAAATAATCAACAATAATCGTATTTATTAAATTTTCATAATTTCTAAACAAATAAAAAAAAAATAAAAAAAAAATAAAAAAAAAAATTCTGGCACAGCCAGGATTCGATCGCGGTCGTTGGACGGTCTCAAATTGCAAAGTTGATGCTCTAACCAACTGAGCTAACAGGCCTTACGGTAATTGATTGATCTAATCGCTTATGTGTTTAACCAGAATAAAAAGCAAATATATCTTAGTTATTTTAAAATTATTTTAAAAATAATTGTTAAAGATAAATATCTAGGATCTAATTTACAATAATTTAACAATCATATCGATTTTAGTATTAATATGGACATTACATAGATCAAAATAGAAATTATGTGTTTGACATTTTCTGACAGCTACTGCGGAAAGTAGCATATTCTCACTTGGGTGGAAAGTAAATTCTTATTCATACGCGTGTGATATAGGGCACTTTCCATAGGTCTATATAGTGTGATATGTGTCACTTTCCTAAGTGGTCGTAGGAAAAATTAATTATTACAATCCTTTATTTTTGAAATAAGAGTATCTAATACTTATTGAAAATAGTA